GTGAACGGTTTAAGTTTATTTGATCGTCGAGAACAGGCGAGAAACGTGGTCCTTTTTAAGGAAAAACGGAATTTTATACGTCAATGCTGACGATAATAGGGAGCAACCTAATATTATACTATGACTGTTTAGCTAAAAAAAAAAAAAAAACCTAAGATTATATGATCCGAGTTTTATTAAGCAACAAAATCGTTTAGACGTATTATCCGATTTCAAGGAATCATTTCTTGATTCTTTATTTCTACTATTTAGTATTTACCAACAAAATCGTTTACCAGTTATAAAACTACGCAAATCGTGATTTGGTTGATACCATCATTCCGTTTTTCCATATCCAATTCATATGCTAAAGTTTAACGATTAAGTTAATTTTTGTTTCTGGGTGAATCTTCCATTTAGAATATAACAAGTTTCAAACTACAACAAATGATTAGTCAGAATAACTACTACTAGGAGTCCAATGATTATTATTCTTCGATATTGGAAAAACATAATTGAATCAACGTCTAGCGAAATTTAATGACTTTTTAAACCCGATTATAACAACTTTGCACTATACATATTCTTTTCTAGAACGTCGGCACTAAAATCCACTATATAATATGTCAAGGAGAATAATTTTTATTTGATAAATTAGTTGATAAAAACAAAAACATTGATGATTAAAATAATTGCACCGCATGATAATACATTTCCTAGCAACATTGAAGTCTATATTTTAGTTTAGAAAAACATTGAAGTATTGGCGTGTTCTGTAATATAAATAATACACTGCTGTTACATTTATTAATTTGCTCGTATTGTTTTAAGGTGTGTTCAAAGATTGCTTCTTCTTTTTCTAATCATGCAAGAAATATTCCCAAAAGATTGTTCTCCATGATACATTTTTCAAGTACATGTGGAACAATGAGTTGACAGCAGCTTAAACCATAATCAATAGTTTAAGTTTTCTATTCGTGTTTGAATATTATTGTTGTTTTTAAATGAATCAAATCATTCACCTTCCCAATCCCAACATTTATCTTTAGCCCACTGGACTATTAATTTGTGTGCAATATATTGGGATCCCAAAAATATAGTGCTATAATTGATTACTTAAGCCCAAATTTGCCCAAATCCAGGGTCGGCCTTCTCCCAACCTATATACCTAGTTCATAGCATATGTTGTTAGTTAGGACAGGTTTATCAATGATACACTAAAAGTATCATAAGATTAAATATATTAATAAATGTTTTTTGAGACTACACAAAAGTCTCATTGGATTGAGAATTATCAAGTGGATTTCATCTTTTTAATTCTGTTTTTAATTGTTTATTAATATTTTAGGCTTATGATACTAACCTAAAATCATTGATAAACATGGTCTTAGTAAGATCAACATATATTTACCTATTTGATGTAGTATTTTGGAGAACTAAACAACCGGAAGTAGAGATATTTGCATTCATGCGTTTTTTTAACCTTTTATTTTATTAAAATTGATTTAAAACATATTATATCAACGAAGAAATTCAACAAATGCGATACAAAGAGAAACTAATGGTCCTTTCCACACCAGAAATCAAGTGAAGACAATAATCGTTGACGACACATTAGCGATACCAAGATGATCTTGTTTCGTACCGAATGCAGACGATTAGGTGTTCCCGAATCCACAATAGCAGCCGAATTTTCAATATCTATTACGATAATATGATAACAATTCTCTTAGTTTAGATTAATCTCCTTCCTTGATTGTCTTTGTCAGTTAGCCAGAATATAGACAATCAAATATATAGCCAGAATTAACCCTACTAGATACTAGCAAACTATAGATCTTCTACGAGGAAAAAAACTTCAACCAAAATCTTCACCCTTAAAAAATAAATCCAGTGAAGGAATCACAAACTAAATCCAATAAAAAAATCACAAACTAGATCTCTAAAAAAACCAGACGGCGAATAACATCGCATTGTCTTCCAAACAAAAACTCTCATGGACATTCCTTAGATTTCATGTCAAACATACAAATTTTAATAGATTACACTCATCTCTCTCACGAAGCCGGTAAAAGCATCGGACCCCCTCCTGGTTATAGTTTATTGTCAGAGTTTATACATATTGATATCACAATACTATGATATTTTTTTCATTTACAAAATGTTTTTTCCTTTTAATTTGGATAGAAGTGGACTTAGTGTACACTACCAATTTTGTTGTCTGTGTGCGTGACTAATAATGGGAGTGCTTAGATAAGTTAGATTTGGCAGTGTTTGTGTTCAATGGTAAAAGTTTACCACGTGCATACTTATAATTATTCGAATAAATCATTAAATTAAGTGATGGATTGTACTGAAGTCAGTCAGAAATCAATTATCGAACTTAACTAGGAGATGGTTTACAATTAGATATCATAACTGATTGAACTATATGAAGATCCAACTTAGTTAGCTTGGATAATTATTTTATAGCTTACTTTGATTCTAATTTTCTGTCAACTTGTTCTATGTTTTCAAATTAGTCAACCCAATTCATAAAGATTTATTCAAAAGAATATTCAGTTATGAAAGGTTCGTATATCAAGACACTATTTTAACAAAGATCGACTAGTTGCCTTATTATCCATCATCCATGCATGGTTTACTATATATTTTCAAATGCGGTCCACAACGCATACAGCTCATGTTGTTGACTTTTTTTATTTTTGTAATTGAAAAAAGGTAACGTAGGAGACCGGATCGTAAACGTCCACGAAGATGATATGTTACTGCGGTGGCGACCTAGACGCATACGCAAACGCAGATCGCGACTGATCTTGTTACGTTGGATGATTAAGAAGGTTATAGATCTAATGTCAACGACTCGGTAATTGATTTCATGGAAGCTGAAAGTAGTAATTAAGGAACAAAAACAGTGACACGTGTTGGTTAAAGTATAGGGAAAGAAGGCCGTTGGGTGTGTGTGTGTTACTGACAGTTTGACAGTTGGACGGTAAAAAAAAATTATTGTCTAGAGGAATATAAAGAGGGAGCATCTCAGTAGCTGACGTGGCGGTCTTGGAACCCAGCGCACGTGATTCTTCGCAGCACCGCACGTGCATGGCCTAAGGCAAAGTGCCTTTATAGAGGCAGCAAATTTAACAAAGAGAAAAATTAATCGACGACGCTAATTGTTAGGATTTTAAAAAGGGCACGCAAAAACTTAACCTACACTTTAATTTAGTCTGCGTAAAGTTTTACGCAATAAGTAAAATCCATTATTAAATGTTTAGAAATCCAAATAACGCCATCGATTCATTGACATATACTCCGAAATGCTCGCAAAGTTCTATATTTTTCCCGGGAGACTAATTCAAAGAGGGATCGAAAGCAATGCTAAATATATAAGAAATTGATCCATGCTTCTAATTCGAAAATATTCTTAATTATACGAAGTTTTGGTGAATCATATGAATAAGTACTACTACTATAATAAGGTGCTYTAAATTTTGTACTCTTCGTTCGTTTCTCAAGAAATATAAAAACTAAAAGGTACATAATTTGAATTTCATAGGAATGCACATGAGGGGACGAGTTCCCATAAATTGATTCTCTCTGTCTCCGGGACTCATCAAACATAAAGTTCCGATATTTCTTGTTAATACGTATCCAATTACATTAAACCGAACCGGCTACAACTACATTCTAAACCGGAGCAGTCCATATTTTTCATATGAAACTATGTAATTAACGAAACTTCAATTTTTTATAAAATTATATTAGCTTGTTAAGTAGAGAAAAATAAGTACAGTACCATTTTTCACAATAATATAAATTATATACATGTATGTATACGCTATATAGGTTCATATGAATATAGATGCTTTGAAGGACTAGCATTTGTAATTGTAGCCGCTAAAATGGATTAAAATATTCATGCAAGACCTTCACACATATGAGTGTGTATAATAATGAGAGAGAAATAGAGAGAGATGATTTTCAAAAATAAACATAGAAAAAGAGAAGCTCTAATCGAAGATACTATAATATAATGTGCGTTTATAGATCCGATCACATCT